CAATCTCCATCGATGGAGTGCTGACGCATAACTCTCTGTTCTCCCTCTCCCCACGTGGGATACTTTGCTTCTCCCAATAGACATTCATTCACTGATTATTGGTATTTGTTATGAGTTGAGCTTGAACTCGAAGGTTTATTGTAGAAGCATAAGTCTACCGGGCATTGAATGTGCAGATCTTTCATTTGACCCACTGCTCTCCTTCTCTCTCTCTCTCTCTCTGTCTCTATATATATAAATATATATTTCTTTATTTTCCAAATCTTTTGCCAACAGTAGTGGATTATTAACCACTTGACCTTTGACCCCACCAACCTTTGACCTCATTACTCATATCTTGAAGAAGGAAGCATCAATAAAATGATCTCTCATTGAACAACGAACGAAGCTTTTGTTTACTAATAGTAATAATGATAATCGATAGAACTATCACTAATTTCTCAAGCAGGAAATAACTAGCACTGTTTGTTGTATAAATTGTTGTTATCAGTAAATTGATAACTGATATATTTTATAACAGTAATTTCATTCAGTTTATTATATCATTCATCACTTTTTTTGAAAGGAATTATCACGATCATGATCACGATTATGATTATGATTACCATTCGATGTTTAGTGTAATATATCAGTGTTAACTGGTCAACATGATAAGGACAAATGTTGTATATGTTGTTTAACTTCAGATTCTTGATCATTGCAGTTGTTTCAGCTGTAATATATAAATGTTTAGGGATGATGAATCATGATACATTATATCGAATTCTATGAATTGAAGCAATAGTCAAATGAAAGCAACTGAGATCGATCCTAATAAATCTCATGGCATTATCATTGAAATCTTTTTACTGGCTCTGTAAATTATAAAATGACACATCTATCACTTCACTCTGTCATTGAATGAAAAAAAAAACCATACGAGAAAGAGACTACTTCAACCAGATTTTTGAAGAAATTAAAGTAACCACTAGTATTCTGCACGGTATAGCATATCATTGTCGTTATTCAATTAGCTTAATTAATTAAGTAAGGATTTTCAAGAATAGCAATGAATGATTAAAGCACCTCTGCACCTCTTATGCGACATAAAAAGGGAATCAACCACAAGTGGAATAGGAATGGGAGAGAAATGATGTTTTTGAGAAATTTAAATCCATTCCATTATATTTCACAAATGTAATTGCTAAATGGATATAGCCATAAAACATCGAGAAATGTTTATAGCAAAGATTTATATCGTTTACAGGTAACTTTTAATTCATCTGATAATTGATTATAATTATTTCCTAAATAAAATTATTTTATGGATCTCTTTATTATTGGCTTGGTTAGAAAAAAATAAAATAAAATAACCGGAATATGTTTTCCATACTTCTTATATTATCTTTTGAATCTCACCATTGGTACTTCGTCGAAAATGTTACCGTTATGAGGTATAATTATTCAGTTTATTTTCTTCCTCAGAAACATATAAATCAGTACACCCCCAAGTGCACAATTAATGATTAAGTCCAAAACATCCCAAGAAACTTTCGCTTTCTCGTTCGGCCAAGAAACTAAAAATCGTCGAGTAGCCTAAAAAAAAAAACATTACTCCAGGGTCCAGGGAAGTTTATCTTAGCACATTAGGCCTTCTTAGTTAATTTGAAGAGATTCTTAATCAGAATATTACTTATTACTCCTTAAATCCACTGAGTTTCATTTGAATTTATAGACTTGGCTGTTTGTAAGAACACCAACAGGTGATTTGCATGCTAATATTATTTGGCTGCAATGAGCTAAGCCGTTCATATATTCATAAAATTCTTCATCAGACTGGAAATCAAGGTTTCCATATGTAAGTAAAGAGCTCATTTTTAAGCCACAGGATTACTGAAGGTCATTTACTTTTCAGAAGTATACCGATGACAGAAGAGATAATCGAGAATACGAGCCACAATTACTTCTTACTTTCCTATCTAGTGCAAGGTCGATTGCAATTGTCAAGGTCGATTGCAATTGTCTGGCTAGTTCTCAATTTTCATTTAATATTTTATATTCCTTCAAAATAGGAGAAAAAAAAACGGAAACTTTCTTGAGGACAAACAGTACTCAATATTTATCTGGAAAAAGAAAAACTGTTTACTTTCAGAACTGTTGTCAGTGAACAGAATTGGAAATAACCCTTATTACTGATTATTTCAACATTAAATAAAGAAATATTTAGCTTTAAATCCCGCTTGCTTTAAAACAAATGGATAATAGAAAGCAGAAGAACAAATATTTCGGATAAAAATGATCGATATTTGACCAGTGAAAACTTTAGGCAAATGTAATCATACCTTTCTTCAGAAAATCCAAATTAAACATTTCATAGCACAACGAATGGACACTGGTGATTCATCGAAAAAAAAGGGTAAAAACGGCGAACTCCTAGCGAAAAATGAAAACACTGCAGAAAACAAGCAACAAATCAGGGAGTATTTCGAAAAGAGAAAAATATTTACGCCATCTTGAATTCAATTTTGCTTTGTACAACTACTGGATAGGAAATGACTTCATTCTATTTAGCCTACTACTAATGATATGGAAAAAGGCGGATAATATGAGGAATAAATCAATAACTACCAGTTCATTCCTTATCAATCAACAAACTCATGAAGTGTCAGCATATCCGA